CGCCGGCGGTCCTAGAACGCACGTCTCAGTCTTTTTAATGTCTCGCAATATCTGACGGAGTTAACTGTTGTTCCATGAGGCAAAAAGTCAATTAACAGGAGGCTCTTCCTGTTTCAAAAGACAGTTGCCATGAATTTCTCAGCAGACTGCGTCTGTTTAGACTTCTTCAGCTTCAGCGACATTGAGTGACGCCATTTATGTGATTGCTGCTTGGTTTTGGGGATAAATTAAAACATCCATGTTTCTTCGCATGTAACAATAGAATCCAAAAATTCTTCCTTGTCTTCACATTGTTGCAAAAACTGCTGGGCACACTCGACACATTGCTGTTTGTGATTTGTTTGGACAATCAATAAATCCATGTATGATCTTATACATAAATATAGCTTATGACATATCACAATGGTTCTGGAGTGAGGGTAAAGATAATTGTTGTTCTATAAGGTAATAATCATAATTTTCAATAGTAGTGTGGACATAGTAAGCACAATATCTCAAAAATGTATGCTGGACTCTTTCTATGTTATCAATACTGTTCTGAAAATAGAGTAACCAAATAACTGAATAGTATTCCAAAATAGTTCTAACTGGGCAACAATATACTAATCTTGTTGAATTAATAGAGAAATATTTACAATTCCTAGAAGTTTAGATGCCTTTATTGAAATAGAGTTATATGCTCACATAAATTAAGCTTCTCATCAAAAATAACACCCAAATCCCTAATAGAAGGAACATAATTCAGTGGTTGATTATTGATCATACAACTTGCTCCAATTCTACTAACTTTACAAGCAAAACTTGGAAAAGTTAAGTTTGAACATTAGACATTAATTTGCTATTTAGGAAACAAGAAGTGATGTTAACAAAGATATTAAAAAGAAGTGGAGAAGTGTGGCCTCCTTGAGGAACTCCAGATGTTACTGAGATACTGTCAGACAGATGACAACCTATCTTGACTCTTTGACTTCTCCCAGATGTAGAGTTTTTAATCCAGTCATAAAACCTGACATAAAAGCCTACATTAATTAATTTGCCCAAAAGTATTTGGTGATCTACATGATAAAATCTTTGGAAAACTTGAAAAGCTATGGAAAAATCTGTGTATATTGCTTCTACCTATTTATAGTCTTTCATAGGAGATAATATATCAGATTGATAGCAAATCAAGTTTGTTGCAGTGTATTTTTTGCTATGAAAACCATGTTTTAATTGAGATATTAAGCCTTTACATAACCAAGAAAGTTGCTTGCTATAAGACAGTTGAAGAGCTTAGGGATTGCAGATTGTATACATATGCTACAATAATTTTCAATATTCTCTTTCTGACCATTTTTAAATATAGGAACAACATAACTTTCTTTCCATGAAGAAGGAAACATAGAGGTGTCCAGAGATCTATTTAACAATATAACAAATGGCATTACAAGGGTACAGACAAACTTTTTTAATAAAAAGTTAGGCACTCCATCTGGACCAGCAGTAAGTATTGGGCAGCTCATTTGTGCCATTAAAAATATCAGTCATGATAATCTGAGAAGGACAAATATTTGTATTAAAGTTGATATTTAATGGATGGATAGGTAAAGGTTGTTGTTATTTGGTGAATACACTGTTTGGAAGAAGTTCATAAATAAATTAGCTATGTTTTGACCATTTGTTGCAGATTGGACTTGATCCATATATCTTATGAATTGTGGTGTAAGAAATCTCAGGAATATGCAAAGCAAGGTAGTTATTGGTGAACATCTGATCTTCAAGCAATATTCTTTCAACTTTTTTGATAATTTCGTCTGAAAGTGAAGACCTTCAGCTCTGATCTTCTTTGTGAATTTCCGTTCAGCCTTCACTGAATTCTGTACACCATTTTCTAACATATTGAACAAATACTTTTCCACATAAATTTTGATTAACCGACAGTGAATGTCAATAGGTGAAATCCGTTTTGCCTTAAAAAACTTATCACAGCATGAATTTCACATCTGGTGGTAACAGAGAGTGGTGGGGCAAGTGAGAGAAGGAGAGTTGGGATGTGTAAGGCAGTGTTGCCAGATTTCTCCCAAGAAAAACTACACTTAAACTATACAAACAAAATTTGATAATATATTTTCTACACTGCTTCACTATACTGAACAACTCAATGAAAATACAAATATTTTCAGAAAAATATGATTTAAACAACATTTTTCAGAAAAGATACACTGACTCATTCCTTACTTTAATTTCAGCTACTTTTTTATGCTAGTAAAGGAAATGCTTAAATATTTTGTCTATTTAAAGTTTAAAAATATTTTGTAACCATTTTTTTTTTAATTGAAATAATTAATATCTTACCTTTTGACATATGAGGTTTGTTATATTCACTCCTAGTTTTCTTGACTTGAATATTACAACTTAATTTTTCTAAAGTGATCTCTCCAGTAACCCTGTCAATTATGAGTACACATTCTTTAGTATATGGTTTTTGAGAGCCTTTAAAGACTGTTTGTGGAATACCCGCTCCATCTGCAATAGACAAAACATATTATGAGTAATCTGTAAGTAATCTAGATATAAATGGAAAAGATGCAATGCACATAATGTTGTATGTAAAACTAAATAATTAGATTTAACATGAAAATGTTTATAAATTGGCTGTGGCTAAAAACTAAATTTACAATACTGTCCTAATCCCAAATCTTAAATGTTTTATTTCCAATCTCTATCACCAAATTGGCCAGTACATTAAACATAGTCTATAACATTCAGATAAACCTATGCCAATAGTAGATTTACAAAATGTATGATGCAATATAATTTGGTAGAATCTTCCATTTTCTAATGCTTCTATAATTCAATCCACATAACTCTTTCACTTTTTCCTTTTCCTGTGACTCTATAGAGACAAAGAAATGTTTTTTTTAGTAGCCAAGATGATACTAAGTACTAAAATGTTGTGCAATACAAGCAAGTCTATTTTGCTTATTGTGTTTTCAAATATTCTTCCTGTACATATACTAGACTATATTTCATAATTATGTCCAAAAAACATCCATAGCATGGTTTATTTTTTCTAGTTTAGTTTTTCTTGCTGTATTTAACACTAGTGCCTAGCTTGTAATGTACAGTAATTTTGGTAATTTATAACTTACTAATTTGTTTTTCTTAAGATGTTTCTAGATTCATCATAATTTGTTAGTTATTTTCGGCACAGAATCTGTGAACCTTTTGGATTTCTTTCTCATTTAATATGAATAATCTAAGTCTTTAACCTATTTTAAGGAATACTTTGTCATAAACAATTTGTTTTATTGTTATATTATTCTTTTTATTCTGTTTTATATGAAGTTTTACAACATAGTATTGCTAGTACTTCAGGTAGCAAAATCCTCCAGATTATCTGGTGACTCTCCATTAATACCTTTTACTTATTTCTATACTTATGAGCCTTTTGAGTATTGATTTACTTGAGTAAAGTTTCACTTTACTGAAAATAGCCTTTTGTATTTAATCACCTCTTTTTTAACTTACCTGTAAAATAAAGATACAGCTTTTAAAATATTTCTTAGATAATTGCTGTATCAGTATCTAGAATATCTTTTATAACTGAGTCCCTTTAGTTCATTACTATTTTTGGATGTTCATGGTTAATAAGAACATTTCAGACTATTCTGTTCTTTGGTTCAATTAAAACAAAAATAACACAAATTATCAATTCAAAATATTACAACACATATTTTATTATGAATATATGGTGTATAAAATATTTATAAACTACAGAATAGTGGTAAAACATGTAGTTTTATCACTCTTGTTGGAGCAAATATGCTAGACTACAATAATCATAACTCTGAGATAAATACAACAAAATATATTTATTATAAATACACAATTTAGCTTTGAAGCTGAAATATGTCTACAAATCAAGTTGTTACAGTATGGAGGAAATAACAAATATTTAGCTTGTTTTAAAGCACCTTAAATAATAGGATCCCACATAGGTCCAGCCTGAATAAAACATGAAAGTGTTTCGGGTGAAGAAAAGTTGGTGAGAACAATTGATGATTAGAGGATATAACTGACTCTATTACATTCAGTATAAACTCTAAGACTGAATAATAGTCTAATCATATGAAGCTCTAACCATAAATTTATTTTGCCATGCTTAAGGGAGATTATTATAATAAAAATTTTGTTTACCTAAATGAGGAACTGTAACAGTAACTTGATTAACTCCAGGAACTTCTACAGTCGCCTTTTTATTAGTATCAACTGAAGCTGGTTTGAAATCATCTAAAAAACACATTTATTAGTTTGTCACATTCAAAGCATGCCAAGGGTGGAAACTTACATTTCATTGTGTGAAATGCTTTAGATTTCGGATTAACAAAGCTTTGTCCAATCTTTAATTCTCTAATCTCAGTGCCTAATCCTAACTTTTCAGCCATATTTCACTTTTTAAACCATCCTATGGTAGGTAGGTTCTTGAATAAAAAAAATTAAATATTTCCTACGCTAGGTTAATTCATTTGACGTCGATTATTTAAAAATCCCTACAGCACTTCGCTTACATGGTCGAAAATTATTTAAATCGCAAAAAAGTCTGAAAAAAAAACAACATATGAACACACGTATTGAAAGGTAAAATGTAAAATATTGACCTACTTTTTGACATTTGACCGACCACTTTCTGACAGCTGAGAAGAAACGTCGCAAAGACGTTTATAGAAAATTTGTTCGTTATGTATATGTCCAAATACTAACATGTGGTGATTGTTATTACTGGATTCAAATATATTAAAATAAACATAATTTTACCAAAAAATTTTTATAATTTTTAAAATTAAGTTTTCGTATATCTCATATATGCGCATTTCTCAGCTGTGATTTTAAGTTTACTAATTTTTTATAAATATTGATCAGTTTAAGTAGACATTCAAATCTGCAGCCAATTAAGTCAAATGTCACAAATATATATAGAGATGGGTTCCTTGCTACCAAATTATAATCTTGTGTTTCTGTTACTTTGATGCATTATAAAATAAAAAATAAATAAATATTAAATAATGGAATTAGATGAATTCTGCTGCGTTTGTGTTCAAAAAAATTTACATTTAGAGTTAATTGAAAATCTTGACGAGAATGAAATTAAGTATAGTGAAAAACTGTGTTTATGTGACAATAACCAGGTAAAATTCATTTGTTTTGTTTAATTCATAATTATAATATATTTTTTTACAGGAATGGAAAAGAGAATATAAAATATGCATAAACTGCATTGCACAGCTGAATTTGGCATACAACTTTATTCAGATGTGTTTTAAAAGCAAAGAACTGAGAGAATCCATAAAATCAGAACAACAAAAGGCTTATCCCTGTGATCAGTGCAATAAAAAGTTTTTACAGAAATCGTCCCTATTGACGCATATAATTATAATTCACAATGAGCAAAAACCTGAAGAAAGTGAGCAACATTTCGATTCCCGAGATAATAAAATAGAAATAGAAAATGACAAACTTAGTGAATGTGTTATAAATGAGGTAAAAACAGAAGGAAATAACTATTCTAGTGAAGAAGAAGAAGAAAGACCGAAACCAGTATTAAAGAAAAAATACAACAAACTTAAAGTCCCATTGACTTGTGAATATTGTGGCAAGAATTTCAATAGAAGACAGCATTATACTGCTCATATTCGTGCCAAACATACTTTTGAGAAACCATACAAGTGTGATCTTTGTGATGCAAAGTTCACTAACTCTCATAGCCTCCTTGTTCATAAAAGAAATCACAACAATGAGAAACCATTTGTGTGTTCTTATTGTGGGAAATGTTTTGTATGCTCTGGTGATTTATACCATCATAGCAAAATACATTTAAATAAAAGAGAGTACAAGTGTAATTTGTGTGATAAAAGTTTTAACACTACAAGTATTTTAAGAACTCATAAAATATGCATGCATGTTGAACCAAAAGACTGGAAATATATTTGTAAATACTGTGAAAAGAGATTTCCCATAAATTCCAGCTTGGTTACTCATATGAAGAGACATGAAGGTATCAAAGAAGTTGATTGTCATATATGTGATAAGAAGTTTTTTGATAAATCTGAGTTGTCCAAACATTTCAGATCGCACAATAATGAAAGGCAGTTCAAATGCAACATATGTCAAGACAAAGAGTATAAAAACCATTATGGTTTGAAGAAACACTTGAAAATTATTCATAACATAGGATCAATTAACATTCCAAAACCAGAAAAGAAGTTTGCCTGTCCTCTGTGCTCAAAAACTTTTGCTTTTAACAATAAACTACAGAAACACCTTTGTACACACACTGGAATAAAACCTTTTAAATGTCTCCATTGTGATAAAAGGTTCATAGAGAACTATTATATGAAGATGCATTTAAAAAAGAAACATAATATTGATAGTGCAACTGCTGAAGTAGGATAATTATAGGGCCTGAGACTTCATTTTCTTAATTTTTTTTACAAACTTATAGTCTAGGTAGTCTGGGAAATACTTATGTTAAAGAAAAATAATATAGTATTCAATAATCATACAGGGAGATAGAAGTAGTTTGTATTTTGTTCTAAAGTAGAATAATTTGAGTATACATATAGAATATAATTGTAGAAACAAGACTGCAACAACTATTTCAAGTGAAAGAATTATTTCTATGAATAATATCGAATTTTTTATTCTCTACCATTGAATACTTTTAAAATGACTTTTTAAATTGATCTATGGGATCTGCATCACTTTCTTTTAATACCTTAAGACATATTTACGAGACTCTGTAGGTAGACCAGTTTAAATAGTGTGTCACTGTGATTATTATATTATGTAAAAATAGACTCTATTTTTCAGACTATAGCAAGTATTATTTTAAACAGTGATTTTGTTCCTTACGCAATATATACAATATTTATACATCATAATATTTCTTTCTTGAATAAAAGTTTTTATATTTAGATTAAAAAATGTTTTTTTTACTAATCCCTAAGGCTTATTGAAATAGCTAATTATATTCACTGAGTGTAGTAATATCATATCTATAATTTTGTGCATGATCAAATTAAATATGTTGTCCGATGTTGCCAACTGTTGATGTATATCCTACAATTTTATTGTAATATTATGGATGTTCTTTATTCGTAAACCTTAAAAATGAGAGGATCTCTTAAACTGATCCATTTCAGTAGTTCCTCTTAAAAATATAAGAAGCAGAAGAATGTTCAGATGAGGCATCAACAATTATTTCCAACCATTTTCCCCCCTATTTGTTGCTCTATTGATTTATCTAATGGGTAGCATGCTATATAGGAAATCCACTACCAAATATATCAATAATTTGAATGTCTTATTTTTGAGTATGCATATTTTGAAATGGATGTTTTATATTAAAACATTTTGACTAGCATAATGTCAACAATATCATACTTTACTGCCTTATGTAACTAAGATAATTTCTTACTCCCTATTCATTTCTTGCGACTCTTCTGTGAATGATACGTCCTAATTACGGATTTATATACTTGAAATGACCAATTCTATAGTTTTAGATGGTTCAGCCATATTGCTAAGCATTTGGGAGCGTGAAATGAAGGTACAATGTTAAAGAACCACTTATTACAAGAAAGTCTATGGGCCATTGCTCACAGATAATTTGGAAAAGTGCAAAGAATAACTAATCCATTTTAGGATTATCATAAATAAATTGATTTTGGGAAGATAAATTTTGTAAAGAATAACTAATATAATTTCTTCAAAATAAAATGCATATTTGGCTATAGGGGAGAGGGGGGTTAGTGTGGACATAGTTAATTATTTAAAAACTCGCATTTAAATCTGCCGCCCAGTCTGTTCAGGAAGTGACTATTAACGCCACCGAACACCACGTAAAAGTTGGTTGAAATATTTTCTATAATATGGCCGCCAGTGACAGAAAGTGATTTTGTGTGTTGTATCCATTTATTTCACACGGTAAGTAAAATTATACTAAAATTGAAGTTATTGAACTAATTGTATACCTAAGTTAGTGTATGGCTTCTGGAATATTTAATTACTACATTTGATATGGAATGAGATAAAATTATCATTTTTCGAAACGTCATTCCATTGTTACTGTCAAACATGGCGTTCGGGGTTAGTGTGGACAAATCATCAGCTGTCCACACTAACCCCACAAATGATTATATTTCCAAAAATCATGTGATAAAAATCGCTTTTTTGTTTCAGATGAGGACTTACAGTAGAAAAACGGCGAGAGCTGATATTGATGAAAAAGTTGTAGAGCGTGCAATAAAGGATATCCTAAGAAAAAAAGGAAGCTTGAGAAATATTGCAGAGAAATATGAATTGAAAAAAAGTATGCTTCACAAAAGAGTCATTTCGGCTAAGAGGAACCTTCAAGATGCTAATATACCCTCTGGTGATGATTCAGGTAACGAAGATGAGTTAGAAATTGTTAGCTTGAATGTTTCTGGCGTCAATAAATTTCGAGGTCGCCAAATATTTTCTGATGAACAAGAACAACACATTGTCAATTATCTTAAGAAGGCGTCTCGATTACATTATGGCTTGACTTACAGCAGGCTTGTACCCTAGCTTTTGAGTATGGTAGTGCTCTACAAATAGAAATTCCTTCGAATTGGACTAAAAATAAGATAGCAGGAAAGGACTGGATATATTCATTTATGAAACGACATGGTGATTTATCTCTTAGAAAACCTGAAAATACAAGCATAGCACGAGATGCAGCCTTTAACAAATCCAACGTGGATTTATTTTTTGATAATTACATTGGAGTTTTAGATAAATTTAAAGGAAGGCCAGAAAGGATAATAAATTTAGATGAGACAGGTATACCCACGGTCTTACCACCACCCAAATGTATAGCTGAAGAGGGGAAAAAAACAAATAGGAGCTGTGGCCTCTCAAGAACGCGGTGAAAATGTTACAATGTGCGGAATTATAACAGCCACTGGACAAGCAATACCTCCAGTTTTCATATTCCCCAGGAAGAATATGAAAGACCGGTTCTTAGATGGTGCACCAATAGGGAGCATTGGTCTGGCTCATCAGTCTGGCTATATGACTGCTGAATTATTTTTAGAAGTACTAAAGCACATAAAAATGCACTTAAGTGCTTCTAAAGAAAACCCTCTACTGATATTAATGGATAATCATTCAAGTCATATAAGTTTGGAAGCTATAAACTTAGCTAGAGAATCTGGAATTACTCTTTTATCGTTTCCGCCACATTGTAGCCACAAACTACAGCCGCTAGATGTTGCAGTATATGGTCCTTATAAAGCTGCATTACGGGTTGCAATGGGAGACTGGCTTCAAAATCATCCAGGCAGACCTATACAAATATATGATGTTGCTCAACTGTGTGGTATTGCTTTTCCTGTGGCATTTACAATGAAGAATATAACATCTGGATTCAGATCTGCTGGTTTATGGCCAATAAATCGTCTTGTATTCACCGATGAGGATTATGAAGCTGCCGAAACAACAGATAGGAATCAAGAACCACCAACAGCAATGAACCCAAGAAATCCTGAAGATCCTGAGCGAATATTAGAAGTTGCTTCAATCTCCACAAGACTGCTACCTGTAGCTCCCATTACGCTTTCACCATCAGTAGCAACTACATCAACAGCTGTAATTACTCCTGAGAGCTGCCGCCCTTTTCTAAAAGCAGATCGCTCATCAAACTCCAAAGCAAGAAAAAATAAAAAGTCGACTATTTACACGAGCACACCAGTGAAAGATCAGTTGGAAGCTGAAAAAGAGGCTAAAGATTTGAAGGAAAGACGTGCGCAAGAAAGAGCTGAAATGCGAGAAAAGAATAGAGTGAAGAAATCTCTTTCCTATGAACCAAAAAGGAGTAGGAAAGAATCTTCCTCTTCCAATTCTTCTACAGAAGTAATACTTGAATCAGAGGATGAAGGCTGGATGGAAGATGATGGTCAGGACAACGATATTTTTATGGACAAACAAATGGAGAAAAATGATTTCGTACTTGTAAAATTTATGGGTAAAAAATCGGTAACACACTATGTTGGCCAAATCGTAGATATTCGAGATGTGGAGGTACAAATTAATTTTTTAAGGAAAAAAGTGAATAATTTCGTATTTCCCGAAGTTGAAGATGTCTCAGTTGTCGACAAGAACGATATTGTCGGAATTTTGGAGCACCCAGTAGACACTGGCACGAAAAGGCAAGGAAGATTATTTTCATTTAATATTAATTTCAGTTCTTATAATGTATCGTAGTTTCTTTTTGTTAACATAAAGTTTTCAGTATTCCTGTATATGTTTTACTATGCGTCCACTATAACCCCATACTCTGTCCACTTTAACCCCACCACGGGGTCATTGTGGACAAATTATTGATTCCGATTTGAATCAAAATATTTGTTCTATTAAGAAAGATACAAATAAAATATTCACATCGAAAGTTGAGTTGATGTTTACAGTAAATATGTGAGGTAAGTTCAGCAATAAGAATCTTATACATATTTTTTAATTTGCTAATAAGTAAAAATGGTCCACAGTAACCCCCTTCTCCCCTAAGGAGCTTCATATAAAAATTAAGAAAAACACAGTTAAAAGTGAAAGTGTGCCAACTTCACTTTTTAAATCTCCTTTGGTCTACGAAGTCCGTTATTTTTGGCCATCTATTTTCAGGCATTCTCTACAGGTGTCCATACCAGCTTAGTCTTTTCAATTACGTCTAGATCAATTTCCATTTCTCTCCGAATATCTTCGTTCTATCAAATGTAGTAAGCCGGCAACATCGTCTCCAATAGTTCATTTCCGTGGATTTTTGCTTTATATCTCAAAGTTCGGCGCCGTACAATCCAATAATTTCTAGTATTGTTAGTCCAGTTGTCAGAGGAATAATAGAGAATGGCAATTTTGGGAGCTTAAAAAATTTATCACTCCTACCCCCTTGGGGCTCCCCCCTAAAACGTTACCTCGTAGGGAGAAAACGGAAAAAATCGACTACGAAGAATCTCGACATTGTAAAAAAATGTTTCAAATAAATAATATAGCTGAGATAATTTTGAACAAAAATGTTTATTAGCTTTTCTTGTGAAAAATGAACCGTTCTCTCAGAAACAACGGTTAAAGCGACCGGAAATGTTTAATGTGTTACGCGCGCGAAATCAGTTTTAAACTAAACTATAAAAACTGTCTTCATTTGCGATAAAATATAAAAATTGAGTACGAAAGCTGCTCTCTTTACCTATAAAACGAATTTTGATTTTCGTCGATAGGACACTCATCAGATCAAGATATCGAATTTTTAGCGTCGATATTTAATTTTCTCACATGCGAAAAATCATGTTATTTTTTCGCTGTATTATTAACTATCCTTTTATCACAATTTTACAATCAACACCTTAGTCCAACCCTTAATAACCCTTCCTACTTACATTTTACCCCCTCTCCATTAGAAATACAGACAGTTTCAAGATAGCAAAAGAAGAAAGAACTCTCTTGATTTATCAGCTGTCGATTAGGACAGAACTGTTCTGTTCATTCTCCCTCTCTTCGCTTATCAAGAAGAACAGCATCTATTTTGGCTGTTTTTCTACCGCAAATATCTCTCTCTCGCCTTAGTTACGCGAAAAATACCGAAAATACTATTTTAAATCGTGTACAGACAAAGTGTGCTCTATCTCGCAAAGTGTAGTACCGCGAAACACGTGTTTAGAAAAACCGCAAGTGTGCCCGGACATATTCCACATAAGAAAAGAAAAACCGCGAGTATGTGGATCAGAAAAAATATTGGTAAGACTTTCTATACACTTCATTTGCTATTGTCTGTATACCTTTTATTACTTATCCTAATTTTATTGAACCAGCCCTATATAATACAGTTCACATACACG